CTTTGCTTTAGTCCTTTTTCTGTTCCGCATGTGTGGTATATATATTATCATGGTATAAATTTATTCTGCTGTATGAAGTATTAGAATAGTGGAAACTTGTATTGGTATTTACTACCTTCAGCCTGTGGTGTTGTTTACTGTAACACTGGCGTAACTGTTATCAATTAAAATCCCAAAACTGATTTCTGACTATTTGTCTCTCTTTTTTTTTTTACTGTGTTGTGTTGATTGTTTTGCATGTTTTTAACGCAGCGGTGGTGAACTCTTTTCTAACTACTATATGTGTGTGTGTATGAAGTAGTGCTGGTAAGAAATGAATCAACAGCTATTTTTGATCATTGAGGAACCATTTAAGTTATTCATCCTGCTAATTTTTTGGTTCCAAGCTTCTGAAATCTAAGAAATTTGTTGCTTTTCCCTGTTTTGATGTCATTGTGAATTGAGTATCTGTGAGTTTTGTAGTCGGGCAATGTAAAAGACTTCACCATGGGCTCTGGGAAATTATGATGGGTATTTTCTTTTTTTTTTTCTTGTTTTTATTGTCTGACATTTAATAGAGTCAAAATGTGATAATAAACAAAAAAAAAAAAAAGCCAGCCAATTAATTCATAATGAAAATAATTGAAGTTTATGTGTGCATGCTGTGCACTTATGCATACATGATTATATGCACATTGCGTTGCATGTGTCCCCAATGTGTGTTCAAGTACATTAGTGGAGCCAGCGGGCCACCAGTGACTGTTTCCAGTGCTGGTGATAGTTGATTAGGGAGTGATGAGAGCTCAGACGTCCCAGACTCAGAGACACAGAGCCAGAGTGTGTCTGTGCGTCTGTTTTGCAGCTGTAGGAAGTCATTCATTCTGCCCGCTGACCAGCAGCGCTCTCCTCTCCCGCTGCTGGCCGGGGAATGTTGTCTGCAAATCTCTTGTGGTATGGTGTGAATGCAGGGAACGAACCAGTGTGGTACGGAAGCATCCGATGTGCTTTATGTTTACACGTCAGGACACTGGAGCTCATTCAGTTCTTTTACCCTCAGCGCCGTTGGAGGTATGTCAAACACGTCTTAGGTATGTTCATTCACTCCTGACGATTTTAAACACATCTCAAACATGTTGGATTATGTCTACACTCACTGCAGCTATAAAATGTCTATACATAATCTTGTTCAAATTAGGAAATGATGCCAAGTTGCGCTTTGAGAGTTGTATTTACATTTTATATCCACAAAATAATAACCAATACTTTACTGTTCATTTCAATTAATGAAACTAATTAAAGGCATCACTAATCACAATTATTAACATCATTAATATCAATTGTTATTAGGAGATAAATTTGATGCTAAAAAAGTAAGTACTGATCTGAATAAACTTCTATTCAGACAGTGTTATCATGAGGTAACTATCATTCATATTTCATACTTTGTTAAAATATTGGAGAGATTTAAACAGCTCAGCGTAGTATAAATAGATGCAGAATATTTAGTATTTCCTTTAGATTTACAGATTCAGATCAACTACAAACTGCAGTGTTATCACTGCTCTATCATCATCAAAGGCTGCAGTTTTAATTGATGCATAATGGAGAAATACTCTCAATGTCTAATTACAGGACAACACACGTAGTGTTTGTATAGGGTGAGGTTCTGGGTGAAAGCATGTTCAACATGAGCGCAGGATATATGGTCAAGTTATTAAATACAGATATATGGGTTTCAGTCATGATGGAGACTGAAGGATTCAGTGTGAGTCCGTACTCAACATATTTATATATGACATTGTTAGTGGCTTTTTGAGCTGCCATGTGTCATCGCTCATATATTCCTCTAAAGAGTATTGTGTTCTGCGTTCGTCCAGATTTAGACCTTTGGGCATCGTGCCCCATGGTTGTCCCCTTTGCTCACAGCTTGTCTCTGAAGGTACGCCCGGCCCCGGGCAAGTTCTACTGTACTCCCTGCGGTCTGCTATCACTCACAGCACTGACAAAGTGGCAGCTAGGCCAGCTGCTGTGTGGAGAGCTTTGTGACACTTTCCCTCATCTCCCTCTCTGTTGATCCCCTAATTGATTGACTATCAGGAGCATGAAGGATAAACAGAGTCCACGAAGAGCTCCGATCACTCGCCTCTGGCTCTGGAGTGGGTTTATAATTAAATTGCAAGGAGGCCCGAGCTCGTATCCGTTCCTTCTCTCCAGCTCTCTTATATGGAATAGAGCCATGTGAAGGTGACTCTGCTTGTCCCCACGGGTAGCTTAGCTGTGGGCTGTGTCCATCAGGCCCGGGCTTGCGTACTTGCCCCTCGTTTGCAATGAGAATGGGACTGGACAGGTAATGGTTGTAGGTTTATGAATCACGAGGGGATGGTAAATGAAACTCCTGAGCCTGCCGTTGTAGAGAACCAAGGAAGGCCCTATCACTCAGGAGGACAAGCGATAGAGAAGTCAGCAACCTCAGCCTGGTACATACTCACTCTTTCAAGAATGAGCCATGGAATAGAGGCTATGATTCAGATCTAATTTAGGGACCTAGGGCTCTCAACCTGACCATTGGCTGTGAATAAAATAACTTGCCTGCTGAAGAGTCAGAAGAGCCATGAAAGAGGAAAAAGGGGTAGAAACACTAAACAGCCAGTGGGGTGGCCTTCAGTGAAGAAAAATAGGACAAAAATGTTTCCATTTAAAGAAAATTGTTTTGAAAACATCTGACTTTAGAATGATTTTACCAGATATGATAATTATACAAATTCTAGATTTACAAAAAATCTGTTTCGAAGAAACTGAGTTCAGAGGCCGTGTGCATGTATGCTAAGAAAAATGATTAAGAGATGCTCTGGGGGTCTTGGTTTATTTCTTCGGATTATGTGTTCACAGGGAGTTAAAGAAGCTCCCCAGCTGTCGCCATGAAAGCACTATACCAGTATTTTAATAAATCCCCAAATCCGTGTAATTATTGCAAGATAACGCGTGTAACCTGAGCCTCGCTTTGTGCTCTCACCTCAAGATCCCACTGAAAACGGCACAGCTTGTGTGCATTATATACTTCTTCCCAAATGTGTGTAGTTTTGCCAATAGGGAGGAAAATCTTTATTTTTAGAAAATTTGGGGTATTTTGAATTTCATGGTTTACCTCCTCTTAGGTATTATAGATAGATTAATCTCTTTCCATGTATAAGTAAAAAGCAGGAGCTCAATAGGAGGTATTGTTCGTAAGCTTAAAAGTCGTCTTAAATTTACCAGTAGAAAACGTCTGTCCAATTGTAGAATCTTTTACCTATATACATGTGATCAGTTTACATGGTAGTATATATAAAGGGAACTATGACTATTATTTTATGCCAATATTGCCAAATACTGTGTGCACATCCCACACACACACACCACACACACACACACAACGATCACACACAAACACATACACGCACAATGCACACCTCCCTTAAAAGCAGTTTTTTAAATAACGAAAGTTGAGAAGAAAAAAAAAAAAAGTCCAAGTAATAGTTGTAAATCTAAGAAATCGAGTGGAGATAAAACATCACTGTGGAAGCAAGTCTTGATTTTACCATTTTAAAATCTGAGCTGGTGCTCTCAAAGCTAGATTAAATATTAATAACAAAAATGGAAATAGTAAGGTGCAGTGGCGGCACTAAGTGAAGAACAAGCTGGTTGCCATTCAGTCAGGAGATGTCATATATAAGCCTTTCTCAGAGGAGAAGTGGGCTCTATAACAGGCCGTGACGGCAGGGCATTAGACCGCCATACACAGAGACAATTTTTTACTAAGATAATACCTATCACTGCAGATACAATTTAAATTAAAAAAATGCAATTTTCAACTTTGAAATGACAAAATGATTACAATTTCTTTTATACAAAATTAAGGCATCCAGGCTGTGCCTTCAGTACTGTGTCCACGGCCATGAAACCTCGACATAATTACACTGAAAAATCATTTTCAAATATTTGTATATTTGTCATCGCTTTAAAAACATGCCACTACTGCCTTCTGTTGGGTTTGTGATCTTTCCCACCCTTTCTGGGGGAAACAATAAAAAAGAGAGAAAATCATCAAAAGAGATGGAAAAGCTTTCAACAGAGGGCACAGGAAATATAAATGTGGAAAAAATACAACCACCTCGGGCCATACACACAGTAAATCAGTTCCGGCAGCTCAGCCACAGCGGCCCCGGACTATCTCTTAAAAGCCAAATTACTGCTCCTTGATCTAAGGATCATATTACTAGTTATTGCTCCTGAGATTAGGCTCTCTCTCTCTTTTGTTGCCTGTAGCTCATCGCCAGATCTCTCTCTTTGCACCACAACACAAACACATCAACAAAAAAGAAAAAAAAAAAGAAAAAAAGAAAAAGAAAACCAGCAGATGCACAACCCACCAGCTCACTACTAGAACCTGAATATAAATACAAACAAATGTCGGCTAGCTTGGCGCTGGCTGGCTTGTTGGGGAAGTGTGCTTCATTTTACCTCTTATGAATGGCTGTGACAGCATCAGTCAATTATGCTAATCTAATAAAGCAAACTCTTTCCTGCCCTGAGGGTGTGCGCATGAGTGTGTGTGTGTGTGTGTGTGTGTGTGTGATGGAGACGAGAGAAAGAGGGAAAGCGAGAGGTGGGCAAGAGGACACTGTGGCCCCTGAGGGTGTGCCGTTCTTTGAAGTGGTCCTCTCCTCTTACCCATCCAAGTGGAGTGGGGTGTGACCGAGGCCGCTCTCTAGGAGGATGGTGGTGGTGTTGGTGGTGGGGTGAGGGTGTGTGTGTGTATGTGTGTGTGTGGGGGGGGTCTTTATCAAGAGCACGTGTCTGCCTTGACCAACCAGGGTGCAAAGGTCAGGAGGCTCTCCTGCCTGGGAGCTAGGCATCACTTCATAGGCTTTTTAAATGTAGTCAACTTAAAAGGAGGATAGAAACAAATGACCTGCTCTCGTTGGACACACGAAAAGACAAAAAGCACTCAGTATATAAATGTTAATGAATGGTTTACTTACTCTGGCCGTACTGGCTGTACTGGTAGCCTGCGGTGACAGGATCCACGCTGTAGCTGGTGGCGCTGTAGGTAGGGGGGCAGTATGACTGGGAGGAAGCCAGGCTGTCCACACTCTTGATGGTGTCAGAGCGCTGGCTGCAGCTGGCTGAGATGGGGTTGGAGCTCTCCAGGCTGCTGTGCAGGGGGGAAATGGAAAAGTCGTGCTGGGGCTGGGAGGGTACGGCGCTGGGGTTACTCAGGATACTCATCACCTGGGGGGTAAAGGGAAACGGAGGATGTTAGAAATTTGGAAAATTGAGGATCAAAGCATTGACAGAGTTGAGGGAGAGCACTTTTTTTTCTCCTGCAAATATAGTGCCATCCTAGCACTTCACGGTAAAGATGCTCGATAGAAATACACCATTTCAACTTTGAAATAGGGAATGGGAAAAACTTCCCCATCGTTTTTTTTTTTTTTTTTTTTAAGAGCAGGGTAAAGGATACAAGGAGGGTGATGAGGTTAAAAAAAGGAGAAAGCGAACAAGAGAGACTGTTTCCATTAGCTGGCGCTGCCAGTAAGTGTTCTGCTGTGGGACAGAAGGGTCCCAGGGTGATAATAGACCCACCATCCGTGCCAGACAGCCCCTGTCCCGGAGCCTGAGGCCTGAGCCTGAGCCTACAGCACAACAAGCACCAAGGGAGTCCCTAATCCCTCGCCCCTAGCCTACCCATCTCATGAATAGTAATGGAGTTGGAACTGGTAAATGATCCCCTCAGATCCCCACACAAAGTAGGCTCCACAAACCTCACTGAGGGGCCCGCTGATACTGCAGGTTGGGGCTCGCCTGAATATTACAGTGTGTATATTATTCATAGTGCATAAAAGCTTCCAATTCAATATTCTAGATTAATGTAATAGCATGTGACATTCGTCAGAAGAAGGTCTCAAAATATGTTAAAATGGAAGAGATTACCTCTAGTGCTACTCCAGTCTGAAGCGCAGCGGCCCTGAACGCTGTGAGGAATTTTGTTTTCTTGTGCTGCGAGTTTCTTTAAATGAAGAAGGGAAAGTGGCGAGTGTGTGTGTGTGTGTGTGTGTGTGTGTGTGTGTGTGTGTGTGTGTGTATGTGTGTGGGAGGGGGTGGTAAAAAAGAGAATTGTCCCACACATGCTTCCCTCCTATTGCAGGGAAACCTTCCTTTCAACATCAGGTTCATGTTGAGTTTCGCTATGCTGCACTGGCCTTTGGCCCCTTGGCTGCTAAACCAATTAGCCCATCATGGAGGTGGTTACACAGGGGTGATACACATGCAGACATATGTTTGAATGCATGCACACACACACACACCCACACACACACACACACACACACACATATGACACAACCATATAGGCAATGCAGGGGCAAGCCAAACAGTGCACAAATGATGCACTAAGCCAAGAATATCCCACAGAGGGAAAATCAACCATATTCTGCAAATTAATCATATCTTTAGAAAAGGCCTCCCAGGAAATTCGAAGCACTCAAATCACATCAGAAACATAAAGGCTGGTTAGTCATTTCCACATGTTAATTCTATCAGTATGGAAACCCCCATCGTCCCCTCCACATCTGCAGACAAAGCATGTGACATGTATCCATAAGAGGGAGATTCATGGCCCTCTTCATGCTGGACACATGTGATGCTCCCTCCCATATGGAGCCGAGCTGCACACTCTGAGGAAGATGAGGAGAGTGAGTCCTGATGGTTTGTGATGGTAGAAAGTGAAAGGGGGGTGGGGTTGGGGGTGGGGGGCTTGTTAAGTGTCCTGAGCGAGACAGCTGGAGGGCAAGAGTCCATTTTAGTCATTGGTTAATTGAAGCTCGATTACATCGCTTCCTTATGAAACAGAATAGCCAACAATTGGCTCGATTACTCTTCATGCTCATAAAAGTTCTTCAAAAGAAAATGACTTCTTATCATTGACGTTGCTGCAGTTTTGCTATTTTAGTGAATTAGGATGGATCGGCCGCTTATGAGTCTGACAAGTGTTGTCATCTGTGAGGATGTAGCTATCCTTCATAAAAAAAAAAAAAAAAAAAAAAAAGAAAGAAAAAGAAAAGAAGAAGAGGATCCTGTCTTAATGATTTAAGGGTTTTCTAGAGGGGAAAAGGTAAACTCTTCTGGAGTTATAAGGTTTTTGTTAGCTGTGTGCAAGTTGTATTTTTTGCTCACACTGCTAAATAAAAATCTGACTTCCAATCCTCCCAATCTGATGAAGGTACAGATAGAAGTGAACTCATCTATAAGGTGCCGGGTCGGATTTGAGTTGAGAGCCACTTCAGCCTCTACACGACTCAAAGCTGTCTGACTAGTTCTTCAGACCACATCTCTTATGTTATCCTTGGGTCAGTTTTAATTGCTACTTTGATGTCGCCATAAAGTTCTTTCAGATCACATTCAAGTGTTACTTTAGCTTAGTCACATTGCTTTAGTCACATTAGCTCGTAAAAAACATTTGCTGCTGGATACCCTCACATACTACACACTATGTAAAATAAAACTTTTATAGATATTAAATTCTGGCATAAAGTGTAGTATTCCTGCTGGTGGTGTTGATTCAAAATCCCCCTCAAACTCCTGGCCAGCATATTTGGGAATAAAGAGCTTTTTCTTACTTACTTACTTTCTTACTTTTTTTCACACATAAAATACACACAGCTAGACATTAAGATGATGTGATTTTGGATCGACCAGGTTGTTGCTGATACAGTATTTTATGCTGTTTCAGTGACTGAGGTCATTTGCACCAGGATGTAGCTCAGATTTCTAAAGTACACATCTCAGTGTAAACACAGGTACATTAAACACGACTTGTAGAGTTAGAGCAGAGGGCATCTTAGAGCAGAGGAAAAAAAATCTTAACTACATTATGTTTCCTAACATACTCTTGTGGAGAAACACTCGTTCCCTGCTTCTCTCCATCCCTCTCTACTTCCCTCCCTCCCTCCCTCCCTCTCCTCTCCTCTCCTCTCCCTCAACCCCTCACCACCTCCCTCTCTTTCCTTGCATACAGCGTCCTCAGCAGCACCAGAGTTCGTTTGTTGTTTGACGTTGTGTGAGTGCTGGTTTGGGAGATAATGCGAGCCAGGACCTAGTTTAAAGGACAATGCTCCAGGGCGTTCCCTGCCTCTCTCACACACCCCTCCCCTCACCCTCTCCTTCTCCTTTTTCCGCTCCCTCTCTACAGATAGATTACTTTATAAATAATAATAAAAAAGTAATTAATTCTCTCAACTTCTGAGCCCTCCAGCCTGTGGCGAAGTGAATGGGGAAGTGTAAATTGATACAATGTGCATCCTTTCAGATAAATAAATAGTGCACTTGAGACACAAAAAGAGGCCCTTTCATACCTCCCTAATTTCTTCAACAGTCAAATTACATTTTTTTTTTGTCTGCGCGAATGTTTGACGAGTTGTTCTTTGTTGGATTTCCTTCCAGAATAAAACAATGAGACAGAGACAGAGCTGAGAGAAACACTGGGAGAGTGAGACAAGAAAAAATAAAAACAAAAAGAAGGGGAACAAAGTCAGTAAAGAAAGAGGATGCAGATGTGCTGCAAGACCACTATTTTTTTTTAAATTGTTGATGTTATTGCACCTCTACTATTTTATTCTAACACCTTGTGCAACACTGAAATACGCAGCACTATGTCTTTTTAAAGTATGGACTTGACGTATCTTAGATCCGTGACTCACAAAAACCATATCGCAACTGTTTGTCCCCATTCAGGTAAGTGACGATAACAACTGGGCACATGAACTCTTGTGTTGGACTAAAACAACACAAATTCACAAATGTAAAGAGGGGAAATGGAGCAGTGAAAATATGAGAGCCTATGGAAAGAGGGTGAGGGGGGGGGGGCAGAAGAGAGAAGAGAAAGTGATATAGACTGAGTGAGAGGAAAAGTGGAGGCTTTGGGAAGTACAAAGACTCCTGTAGGACTGCACTGGCCTGAGGGCTAGCCTGCCTGGAGAGCTGATAGGAGCCCCTTCTGTTCCATTCCCGGCGCCAGCGCCAACACACCCCACTCCACAAATACTCTTAATCTGCGCAAGACTGGATTAGTTCCTCTGTCACCGATAGCTCCCCGTTCTGCCCAAATCAAAATGCCCCCAAGATGTACCTTTAAGTTAGGCAGAGGTCACCGGGGCAGACAGGGAAAAATGAGCACTCCAAATGTCTGTAAGTTATCTGAGTGGTGCAGAATGGCATCTTGCACCTTAGCAGATCTGCCTGGCTGATACTCGCTTCAGCAGAGAGTGATTAAAGATCCACAGTGATGGCACTGAATTTCAGATCAATATTTGAAGGCCAGTCCTGAGGGCGTGATTACAGGAAGAGAATAGTGTTTAATTCTGTGACCCAGGAGTCACACAGATCCTAGCTACTGGAAAGAGTCTGACTTTGAGAACAGCCAAAATATTGAAGATAGACTCTTAACAATATATGTGTATGCAGAGCTAATTCAGATATTTTCTTTGATAACTTGTTAAATAAAAATTTACTTTTCAGTGCCTCAAATCCTTGTTTACAAAATCAGAATCAAATACCTAGTAACCTGAAATAAAACAAAAATGAAAGAGGTAAATAACAAATGAAAATATCAGGGAACCCCCCCCCCCCCCCCGAAGTCAGTCGACTCCTGCTCCCACAACATCCCACCCTTCCCCCATCCCTCACATGAGAGGGCCGGCCCAGCAGGCAGTAAGGCCCCTCATCTGAGCAGACAAAATGACTATTTAAAAATAACAGTGATTGCATAAATTGAATTAAAGCGTTTTGGTCACGGTGGAGGTGGCGCGAGGGGTGGCGTGGGGCCGCAGCAGACAGCCGGGATGGTGGCAGGCAGCAGATGACGGGCTCTGGCCTGCATGCCACCGCGTTAATTGGCTGTGGCACATTAATAAAAACTGAAAAGTGTCTTCCACCATAGGATGAAGAGACAGAAGCAGAATGAGAGGTAGAATGAGAGGAAGGGTTGGGGGTGGTGGGGTTTGGTGCTGGAGGGAGAGAAATGGGCCTTTGAAGAATGTGGTGCATATGGGGGGGGTTGGGGTGGGGTGCTAATTGTGTTCAATTAAGAGGCTGATTGGCACTGACAGAATCTGGGCATTGACAAGTCAGGCACAGATGAGGACGATTAGCGGGCACTGGAACAAGCTGTCACTCCTCACAACATGTTAGCTGTCCTGCGCCTGTGTCTCTTCTCCCTGTGCTCCATCAAGCTG